GGGCGCGCAGACCAGCAATCGCGCATACAGAAGAGCTTCAGACAGACGCATATACGCACACAAGCATATACACAACAAGCAGACACACACACACACATACACACATACACGCACACGCGCACACACACACATGGCGCCGCCGCGGCAGCGGGAAGACAACGCTAAAACAAGAGCCAAGCAATGAGCTGGCACATGTTGCCCTCTCTCTCATTCTCACTCACTCTCTTCCTCTCTCTCTCTCTCTCTTCCTCTCCCGATATCCACATGGCCAATGTTACGCTGACACCCCCTGCAACCCATGTCAGTTCTATCGACAGTCCACACACCCCCCCATCTTGCAACCTTACCCCGGTCCTGCGCCTCTCTGGCTGGCTCATCCCAGATCCTGTACGTATCTTCTTGTACGTACTCAAGAAGACCAAATTGGGCGACATACGTCTGTCTGTTCCTTGCACTACGCTCTACTACCAACATGGGAACATCTGGAAGATAGGACAGGCCTCTCTCTCTCTCTCTCTTGTTAAATCACAACGGGGTCAACCCCTTGCTGGAGGCACCTTGAATAGCCATCTGTGCTTCTTTTGGTCTTGAACCAACATCGTTGAAGTCGCCTCATTAATAACCTCTCGTGTCTCCTCTCACTTTCTCGAGACGCCTTCCTGAGACGGTCTTTTATTCGATATCAAGCTCAACATCGTTAACCTGTTGTCTCACCTCGACCATTGTTAAACTTCGACTCCTCCTCTCCCCCACCCTTCCTTCATCCTTACAACATCATCTTCAAGTGGTGTCTGACATCTTCATCTATCCCTCGTTTTGAAACCTCTTTCCGCGCAAACTTCTTCCCAACTTGTTTCAGACAGCGTTACCTGATTCTCTTCCCCTTCCTCCTCCACACAGTCATACTGTTCACCGCATCATGACGGCAAAGAACTCACCTCAACACAACATGGGCGCTACCCTGGCCCATCAACAGCAGAGCAATAGCACACAGTCTTCAACCGCCTTGGCCATCAAGACGGACATGGTGGAAACATACAACACCATGGCCCCTGAACAGCAACCACAACAACAACAACTTCAGCAACGATCTTTCACCGTCCAAGATCCTCAACCATACTACACACAGCTCACTGCCATCAGCCAGCATCAATATCCGTCGCCAGTCATGAACCACACTACCTGGTCCTCGCCACAGTCCATGTCTACAGATGAATTTGACAACTACTCATACCGCGGCCAGACCGTTCAGTCGGCATACAACCCAGCCTCTCTCTCACCGAGAAGCTGGCCCTCGTCAACCCAGACCCCCCCACCGGTGCAAGCCTCGCAGTACGAGTTGCCCATTCGTTCTCAGGAACCAGCCTTTGGGCTTGCCAACGACCACTTGACAATGTCGCCAGAGACTCTACGCGGAACAGATCTAAATGTCTCCCTTCACTACAGTAACAGCGGCTATCCCCACGGCTTTGAGCAGCGCCATTTCGATCCCGAGCCCTTGCAGCGAACTCTGGAGAGCGATAGAGTTCACTACGCATCTTCGCCGGGTACCGACGCTCCTGGGTCACCCTACGGCGGCTCTCCGACCTCGTTCCACGTTGGCGACTTGCCCGATGGCATCCAGAATCTCGGTAGCCAGAGTCCCTCTACCAAGGCCAACCCCCAGCCAGATGCTGCCAACAACAACGGCGAGGGTCCGCCTTACGCCAAACTCATCCACAGAGCCCTGAAGAACGCACCAGACCACTCCATGACTTTGCAGGAGCTCTACAAGTGGTTCAGAGACAACACCAACAAGCCTCAGAGGACCGAGAAGAACGGATGGCAGAACAGCATCCGTCACAACCTCAGCATGAACGACGTAAGTATCTTTGCCTGTTCGCTCGCCCCACGTCACTCCAGTAGGATCATTATCCTGCCCAAGAAGGCCCCATGCATATTATGCTTGAACTCCAACCCCCTGGCTAGTGAAGCATTTGCATCTTGCATAAGCCTAACCGACGAGCCCCTCTTTGTCCCCTACAGTAACACAATGATCCTGTTCGCTAACACGAGAACTCCCATCTAGGCTTTCCAGAGAAGAGAGAAGGAGATTTTTACGCAACCAGACGGTCACACCTCTAACGAGAAGCGCGTGTCTGAGTGGTACCTCAACCCCAAGTACCTTGATGACATTCTGCCGACCACGCACTTCCGCGATGGCAACCGTGGCGGCACCTCTCGCAGCCTCCTCGGTCGCCGTGCCTGCAACGCCGCCGCCGCCAACGCCAACGCACTCGGCGGCGGTCCCATGGGCATGGGAAGACGCAACAGCCCTCCCCGCTCTTCCACCATCACGCACTACCCGAACCCCGACTATCCCAACCGATCCATGCCCGGCCGCGCCATGTCTGGACGCCGAGGAGGCCGCGCCACGACAAACTCCCGCAACGCAAGGCGCCAGCGATCCCAGACCGGGTCCATGAGCCCCGTCATGGCCTCGCAGCATCACCACCAGCACCATCACCATCAGCAGCAGCTTCCTCCGCACATGCAGATTCACGAGGAGATGATGAGACGGAGTCAGGTGGCCAACGAGCAGTGCTTCCAGCAACAGCAGCAGCGCGAAATTCAAGCTCGCGGCGGTCCTCTCAACCTCAGCCCCATTTCTCCTACCGGAACCGTCATCGTTGGCAGCACGCCCGGCGCCGGCAACATCACGACTCCTACCAGTGCTCCGGATCCCTTCATGGCCGCGGCCCAGCCCTACCAGTTCCAGGGCTATGCCATGGCTGATGTTTCTGGAGTGTACAGCCCTTCGACACCCGCTGGCGGTGCCATCTATGGATGGGGCTCCAACGCCCAGTTGTGAGCGGTGTCGGCACATCACATCTCATGATTGGAGACGGGTTGGTGCGGCTGGGTTGGTGTGGCTCCTGTGGTGTGAGTGCTTCGTCTCTGGGGTGGTCTGTAACTCTTTCCCTTCCTCTATCTATTTTTTTCACAACGGCGTTTACCGGGGGTAACGATTGTTTCCCCCTCCCCTCTACCAGAAGCGTAGAGCGAGTTGGGTTGGTCATGGGTGGGTGGCTTTCTTTCTCGCTTTTCCGCCTTTTAGGGCGATGATGTATTATTGTACGGCGGGTTGGACGGTCGCGGGAAGTCAAAAAGTCTCCGCCTCTGGATGTCAAGGGTCAGAAGAGGGCAACAAAAAAAACACAAAAAGACATGAAGATCAGTTCCCAAGAGGAATAGAGCTTCCAGTTGTTTCATTACCCCATCAAAGCCTCTTCCACCTCTTGTCACACTCTCGATTTGGTCTGCTTACGCCTATCTTCATCTCTAACGACTACTCTCGCCTTTCCTGTTAAGACGGAAAACCAGCAACGAGTTTTCGCGGCGGAGTCTTCCGTCTGGTTGGACGGGACATCACGAGAGCGGTCCGGCTATCTTCTCTAGCTGTTCTCGGGGGCCCCGGCCCCGGTCGCTCTACTTTCACTCTTTCTCTGTCCCCCCACCCCTGTCCTCTCCTACGTCTTTTCTTCCCGCCAAGATCTGGCGCTCCGGGGACATGTTCGGATGAGGGTCGACGACGCACATCGGGGGCAGGGCAGAGAAAAGGGCCAACCCAGGGGACGGGGATCTGTGTCTTGCAATCCGCTCGACAATGAGATGGGGGGCAGGACATGGGTGCTCGAGGCGTGGGCGGTGGAGAACAATTCTCTCGATGCTGTCTCTCTCTCCTCCCAACACCTACCACACCCACCACACCTGGCAGCACACACATACACACAGACACAAGCACGCACCCCTCCCTCATCCCCTCCACTCCCACACCGAATTTCCATACATCCACGCCCCCCTCATCCTGCTCGGATTTGAAGGGTACAGTGCCCGTCTTTGACACCTGCAGGGTTGGAGACTCGTTGGTGCTCTCCACTACGACTAGTCTTTCTTTTTCTTCCCTCTCACTCTGACAGACAGTGGATGGTGTGGCGGCGCGGAGCGTGTTGCGTGTTGTGGGCTAGCTTCCCTCTCTGTTGGAAGCAGTAGCCGCGAACCCAAGTTGAGAGGGCAAGGAAAAAGCAATTCTGAATATACGGTCAGGATCGCGGTGCGAGCGTGAGAGAGAAGGGGGAATGCGACGAGACTAGAGGAAGCAGAACGCGAGAGGGGAGAGGAGGGAAGAGAAGAGAGTGGCGAATGTGCTGCCTACCCAACTTGCAACTCCCGCTTGTCTCTTTTCCTTTTTCCTCTCTCTTGAGTTCTCAACTGGTTGGTGTTCCACCTTTTCGCTTTCATTGCGGCACAGGACGGGACAGGATGAGATAGCACACGCAGCGACACGATATGAGGGTATACGGAACTAGGGAACAACAAGGATACCTGGGAAACGACCAAGTTTATGTTTTACTTGCATTTTTTTTTTCATTCGCACTTCTTCTCTTCTTGAACCTTCCTTTATTCTACATCCACGAACCGAGGCGGCATCGATGCAAAAAAGAATTTCAACCAACATCTCACGACAACGATCACCATCATCTTTACCCTTGGGCCAGGCAACTCGTCGACGAAAAAAGAAGCATCAACATCCACCAAGTCAACATCGTCATCGATATCATCATTATGATCATAGAAGCGCGTGCAGCCGCTGCTGCAAAATACCCCCATGTTTCGTCAATACCTAAGTAGTTTTGTTTCCCTTTTTGCAATTTTTTGGTTTTTAAGTTTTGCGGTTCGGAACGAGTTTGCTTGATTTTCACTGCTATTAGTCTTTATGCCAGTTTTGCATTTACCTCGAGATAGGGTTTCACAAGCGGAATAGCTTGATGAGTCAGTATGAGTTCTTCAAGATGGACAGTGTCTTGATATCTAGAAGGGACAAGAAAATTAATGTAGTGTTGGCTTCATGATCTGAACTATGAGTATTATGATTATCCTTTGTAGAAGAAGTGCAATAAACCATCTTCTCTTCTATAATGGTCATAAAAACCACTTATGACGATGAGTGGTGATGATGCATGCATGCGCTCATAGTCGAGCTAGGGGGATCCTCCTCTCTGCTTAAGTCTCCAGTCTGCCGGGCATTTCACTGTTGCATCCAAAGATTCCAAAGCCGCACGTCAAGCGAAACTCTCTCACACACACACTCCCCTCCCCTAGCTCCCTCCTACCCTTCATTATTCCTCATTCCCCTCATTTCGTGCCATCTCATCTCAATTGGGGATGTTTAATTTACCAGTTTATCGGAAAGAGAGAGCAAAGAAAAAAGGAAAAAAATCCCAAGGGAGCTTGGAACCTTGGGAGCCTCGAGATCACAGAGAGCGAAGCCCTCGAGGGCCAGCACGAGACGGCCGCGCACAATTCACACCTAGTCTACGGAGTACTTGTCTCTCACACACCCCTCCTCGGCTCCGACACCCTGGTCATCTCACCAATGAAAGTGGAGCTGTGGGCAGCGAACAAGGGGGGGTGATTTCCGAGAAAATCTGCCCGCGTGGGACCCCATTTGGGGGTGGTGCGTGGATAGAGATAGACTTTCGGGGGGCAGGACGGTAGCGGACGGACGATCGATCAAGCGACTTTGCTTGTTCCTTGCTTCATCTCTGGTTATTGGTCGCTCTGGTCCTTGAGAGAAGCGCACGGACGATGGGTGATCGTACGTAGAGAGATAGCCAGGGGTGAGGTCCAAGAGGGTGGTGGTGACTGGCCCGTCACTGGTCGACTTGTGTGTGCAGATGGCGGCTGGAGGTAACAGGAAGAAAGGTCGACCAGGGTCGGAGGAAGGGTAGATCGTTGTTCGTCGCGGACAGGAACAAAGAGAATGTGTCCGCAGACAGCGTACAGAAACTGACAGCGTACAGACTTATACGGAAGCTTGTGTCATCTCCCGTCTCTGTGACTGGGCAGGCCAACTTGCGGGGGCGTGGAAGCTATTCGTAGCTAGGTACAGTGCTGTGTATGTCTAGAGAAACCAGGGGGGAGATGGACTGCGAGTATGGGCGTAGGCTAGGTGGCCTGCGCAGGGCCAGAGGAAGATCACTCAAGAGGACAATATGTAGCAAAGTCGATGGATGCCCATGATCAACTCTAGACTACTAGATGCAGTCGCCCAATGTGGAGAAGCAAAATGGAGATGGTAATACCAGGCCTGTTGAAATGTCAACCTGCTAATCGAAACCAAAGTAATCCAGGGTGGGCGGCCAGGTGGAGCTCCAATCTCGAAGGTCGGACGATGAACCCTCCCGTCAGCCATGGCGTTCAGTCTAGACCCGGGTGCTTCTTGGAGTCACGCAAGCCTCAAATGGAGCACAGAGTAGTCGGACCGTCGGAGTCGGACGGCGCAGGTAAGGTAAGGTAAGATAGGTAAAGTAGGTAAAGTAGGTAAGGTTAGGTGAGCCTGGTAAGTCAAGGAAAGCGTACCCAGCTGCGGGTCACGTCAGACCTGGCCGTTGAATGAGACGACGGGATCGTCACAAAGCTTCTATTTCCTCCTCATCTCTCGCACTAGGTCACTCATTAGCCTTCACCCTCACCTTCCAGATCCCTGACCTGGATTGGCTGACTGAAGCCAGGCAGGCGGGAAGGCCTCCTTACTCCTCGGACACAGAGGATTTGAGATGAAGAGATGCCATGGAACGAACGCACCAGGGGCGTGGGCGGTTTGCTACGAAGAACACATCGGGTTTCCTCGAACGTCGTGGGAATGTGGAGAAGAGCAAGCCCCGAGTATCGGGGATCGCCAGGATGGAGCTTGATGTGCCTGCCGCAGCGCCGCGCTCCATAGCCATGCGTAGCCATGCGGCCCTTGCATTGGATACTCCCAATCTACTTCCTTCGCCCTGTGAGGTCGGAGATCAAAGCCTCGCAAAGCGCAGCCCTCATTGCATCAGGGCACGCTAGAATTAGGCGGGCAGATAGTCATTAGGGTAAGCGATAAGACATGATAGGTCCTGTAGACGACGACAACAACGACAGTCGCCCCGGTTCAGATCGGCCTGGACTACTGGGCGGCAAGGCTCGGCGGCGGAGGAGGCGGAGGCGACGAGGTTGTCGCCCAAGCCAGGCCATCAGCGGTGAATGTAGGTAGCGTGGTAGCACACCCCTCTGAGGGGAAAGAGTTCTTCAGGGCCCAACGTCGCGTCAATTTGTCAAATGTCTGCCGCTTTCTTTTTCCTCGTAGCATTGTCAACCCGTCTGTGTCTTCCGCATGTCGCATCGCGGGGGTGGAGAGGAGGCCGACGAGAGGATGGCTCCGTAGTCTCTTTGTCGAGATGAGGGCCATCTCCCTTTCACGCACGCCCGTTGGAGAAGCAACAACTCATGCAAGACGTCTTTGGATTTCCTCCTTTATCTGCAGCACATCGAGAGGAGGAGATGGGTATGATAGACGCTTGAATGTAACAGGACTAGCCGCTCTGCGATCCCGACTTCCGCGAGACCGCGTATAACCCTGCCGGGGATTTTTGCCATGCAGCAATGGCGAATAACTGGCGAACCACTTGGCCTGCCGCGCCCTGGGTGAACGTCATGCTTGTCCAGAGCCTGTCATTGAAGGGTGATAAGAGGGTTGTGACTCTCGCTTCTTTCTCTATCATTGGTTACCGAGCCCTCGGGTCGAGACTAGGGACTGATGGGCGTCTTGGTCCTGGTACATGGCGTCTCCCAACCCGGAGTTCTGCTCGTTAATCCCGGAGTTCTGCTCGTTCGAGGTGGAAACTAGGTGGTAGGTGTGGCCATGCCAAGGTCCTGGGATGAACAAGAACCACACTAGCTGGTTAGCTAGCCCATGGACCATGGAGCAGGTAGTTGGACTCGAGACGAGGTTGTTGGGCCCCACTGCCCTCTCTTGGTAGGCAGTTTGCTCACACCCTGCTCAAGCACCCTCTTCGTGCCTCTTTCTCAAAGGCTAGGGTGCGTTTTTGGACTGATCTCGCAACACCATTCCAGGGGTCAGACTCGCAACTGGAACTGGAAGAAGCCATCGTATTCTGCATTTGTCCTCAAGGCGGGGGTGACCTCGTCGGGAATCTGTATATCTTGGGTGGCTTTAAGCCGGGTTTGCGCCAAAAACTTATCAATCTTCTGAACACTGGCAACGTCGACTGACAAAACCCGAGGCCAGCGGCGCAGCGCACAATACGGCCTCGTTAGTAGGGTAGGCCCGTCGCAGCGTCAAGTTATGTCGCGAAGGTATCCCTGTCCCTGACTGTGGCCAGATGGCCCCCATCTTTCTTCTACTCGAGGCATCGAGCCAAGAGAACCGGCAAGCCACGAAGCTGGGCGCGAGCTGCTGACTGGTTCCCCGGAAGCCGCACGGCAGGCCGGATCTGTCTTTGCAGGACTGTCGACCCCTCGAGTGGCTGGTTTGACAAAGAAAACCCGCAGTCGCACGGTCATATGGCCAACGGTTGAGGGTGTCATGGGTACTTGTCCCGCACTGATACTGGGACGAGATACCTTACACAGTAATACGATGTGCCGTTGTTCATAGTCTGCATAACAGCTGAGGCGCAAGACTGGCATAGATGTGAGCTGTGTGAGACTGTGAGGAAGGGGGGACCCAGTCCAGTCGTCCAAGATTCCCAAGCAAAAGCCACGCTCAAATTAGATGCCGCTGAGCGATCCAGCTTCTTTGATGTAGGCCCAATGTCTGGGGCACATCTTGTGCCACATGAGATGCAGGCAAAAGGATCGATAGACCGATAAAGCCTTGACTGACCGCCGGTAATTGTTTGCGGCGGCATGCAACGAACCCTAAGGGTAAAATAAGCGTCTGAGATGTTGAAGAGGTTGTCACCGCCCCCCAAGTCGGAGTTGACGAGAGTCCGCCAACACCAAATGATGGCCTGTCTGGTATGTCTGGTAGGTCTGGCTCACCAGAAGACGCACGTCGTTGAAACAGACTTGCCTTTTCTCTCTTGGGCGTTCCTCTTTTTCCATTCTTTGCGGCGGGGGGACGGGCAAACGTCCGATGGACATGGTCCACAAATCATCCACTTTTTAACCTGGAAGTGCCAGGTACAAGTGGAAATCCTTCTTACCCCCCTCTCCGACCTCTTGCATTCCTCTTTGCGGAAACACCTCGCCGCCTCGGACACCTCCTCCGCTCCGTCCAAGAGGTCCGCCCAACGCGACCGTCGTTCCCTCGAATGAACCCCCCTGGTCTGTCAAGGCTTGGGTCTCGAGTCACCAGCGCGAAGACTGTCACTAGAAACACCCAAGTAGCAACGGCCAACAACCAACGACAACTCGCAACCTTTGCCCTCTTTCAAGCTTCCCTTGGGTCGAGTCCTAGAGACGCGATCTTGGTACGGCTATCTGTGCTGTGTCGCTATGCCTCCCGTCCTTGACCCTCGTGTTGACATCTCTTCAAAAAGGCTGAGGAGACAACTAGTCTAGTCCAGGGCCAGCGGTGGACAGATCACGCTTGCAAGGTTGGCTCCTGGGGGGTTGTTTCCAACAACCATCCCTAACCTGGCACGTTCATAGGTGCGAGAACCCCGCGCCAACGGCTTCGAATCTTCGGATAAGTGATCGGGGGAACAAAAGATGTCAAACGGCACTCGTTGGGTGATCGGAAAACGCCAAAAGAGCACAATTACGACGATATCCCAACCTAGGCGGGGGCTCGTGGGTGCCGAGATGATTCGCTCATAGTCGCTCATCCCCCACATGTGCCAATACAGTCGAGCAAAAGGTGGTGTCGACTGGCTGCGCGGTTGACAGATTTGACAGCCGTCCTGCCGGGCGAGCTAGCACGCCGTTTTTTCTCGCTAGTCCTTCCTCGTCCACAGTTGAGCACCTCCAACGGTCTATCCACTGTCATTGCAAAGACGGTTGCGAGACAGGCAACTATACCCTGGCTCTCGGGTTTGGTGGGGGCAGATCCCGCCGGAGGAGACACGCGTGCCTGTCCAGGACTCGACTTTTGTTCGTTGGTCCAACAATCCAGATGGGGCCCGCGGTACAGATACGGCGGCACAGATACCAACTCGCCAGACCTCTTTGCGTTCAAACATGAGGGGGGTGCTTCCACAAGTCCTAGACTCCAGCTTGATTATCGCACACCACCGTGGCTCGCCGAGGACTTATTCTACCAAGAGCCGCTCGTCACAAAATCGACAGTTCGATGGCTAAATTTTGTGATAGATCCTGGATCTCTGATTATCGAGATGGCAGTTCTGACGAGTTCCCGGCCGTTTCTTCGCTCTCCTTGCCAAGTACGGACGTA